AATCAAGATAAATGCATTTAAGTTGCTCTTTGAGAGAAAATTGAATTATTGTATGAATTATAGTTTCAATCAAACCCAATGTGGCCTAAAACAGAAACTTTTTCTTAACCCTTTAACACAGCGAACCGGGAGTGGAAATACGAGAACTGTAGTCTCATTAACGGCGATGAATGCGCTCAACGTCTCTATATATTTGGCTACCGAGCCATCGATGACAAGAGCACAGCCCTAAACATCCCTGAAATGAAGGAGTATTGTCAGTATGTGTCTCATTATTTGCCATTTATATACTTTAATCACTATTCATAACCATTGCTCTGAAATATAATATTTTGTGTTTTTGTGTGAATTGAGGGAAACACGAGAGGCAGAGAAGTGTGTGAAACAGTGGTCACAGAAGTGTCTCAAACCATTTGAGAGACAATGTCTTAATCTATTGCTTTCGGGCGCAACACAGAGTAGAAAATCTCTTTGCACTTTCAAAGGGCAACAGGTATTCATGAATATTTATTTTGAAAATAATTTTTTATTCACTATTTATCAAAGATCTATTTATTAATACAGTACTGTAGTGGGCGAAAATGCTTTTAATTTAATTTTATGCTTCATTTAAAAAGCATCCCTGATTAAATTATTTAATAAGTCTATGTCTATTGAATGAAATTGAATTATTGGTTTAAAATTTCTATCTTATTTTATCAAATTGACACATTTTTGGTGTAAAATCAAGATAAATGCATTTAAGTCGCTCTTTGAGAGAAAATTGAATTATTGTATGAATTATAGTTTCAATCAAACCCAATGTCGCCTAAAACACAAACTTTTTCTTATTTTTGTCAACTCGTATAGCGTTTTCTACAGAATCGACAATGTTTTATCAAAACTGTCAACACTCAACACGACTGTATGGATCAATTCAAAGAGGATATGAACAAAATACTAGCCATCGATAAAAGCGATCTTAAACTCAAGCTCCGGTGCGGCTGTTGGTGAGCATAATTGAGACCATCATTTGAGACACTATTTCTTTATTTGCTTCCGTCTGGAGTTTAGCTATAAATTAGTTTTTGTGGTCCAAATATGCTGGTTAATGCAAACATAGTGCCGAGAATTTTGTTTAACAAATGGGTCAATACTTATATAATTGTAATCAAATACAAATGTATGAGAATTTATCTCCACTTTTACTGTGAATATATATATATAATGGGAATATTAGGGGATAGAGAGAAATGCCTTTACTTTCAATAAACTCAATAAGTGATTGAAATGTAAGTATTGTTTTTCAAGTTTTATACATTTTGTACATTATTTTTTAGAAACTAATCAAATACTTGAGTTATCTTTTAAAGTTTTTTGTATTTTAATGAAAATTTTATAAATGAAAGTTAATGTAAACAGATTATTTGTTTAATGAGTTTTTAATGGGTTTTAAGTACACTTCAAGTGAATAATGAATATTGTATTGACATCATATCCATAATTATAAGAATTATTTATTTTGACAAAAATATATTCCAATAATTAAGAATATTTGCTTGATAAGAGTCATTAGAATAATTTCTCTAATTTTAAATGTAATGAATATTTACTAAAAGTTGTTTATCTAAAAATAAATTGGTAAAAGATATCATTGTCAGTCAGTAATACATTTATTAACCATTAAAATAGTCAAGAACTTTTACTCTAATAGATTAAAAAATATATTTAGAATCGTGATTCAGTAGCTAGACAAAAATATGGATTCATTGTTACTAAAATATATACTATTTTTATTAAATGTAATAGTTTTGCTGATAAATGGTTACAATGTTTCCGAGAGTCGGCCAAAAAGGTTTGCGATGCGAATGGTATGAAATTCCTGAAATGGGTGGTCGACCCATACGTGGCCGACGCCCTGGACATGGGCTGCAGTAAGGACTGGACGTATGGGACGGACATCTGCACGACATCCCTATCCCGAGTGCCGATTCAACCAAACAGCGGACAAAACACTTCCCATTCAATACTGTTTCCCTTATATATGTTTTTATCTGATTTCGGAAAATTAGAAAATACTGATGATTTCGAGTCGTTTCGAGTATAAATAACTTCAATATAAGTTTATGCAATAGTGTTTAATTAAATTTATATTTTATTTTTCTGTGCTTGTTTAATTACAAATAATATTAAATGAAATTAGAGCAGAAATATAATATTATAATTTACTGAGAATTATATTTTAATCTAAGTATTGACTCAAAAAATCAAAGATTAAATTTTATACACACGATATACAGTACAGAAAATATAGATTTGTGCAAAACATGTCATTTCTCTAATCCAAACACTTTTTGTACGAAAACATGGAATTTCTTACGAAATAAGTGTTCATTAAATTGAAAAAGTTTTACTTTTATATGTGTTATTGATTTTCTTAATCATTGATATGTTATTCACTTTCAGACGTGTATTTGATTTGAATTAGAGTTTGTTTGTAGACAACATCTAAAATTCAAATAATGGTATTGACTCTCAAATACAAAATAGTTTGTTTAGGTTTTGCTAAATACAGCCTTTTATTGTACAGTATTTATACATAAATCGCATATATTTGAGGACTCGATAACACAAACCGTATTAAATCTCTTGTGTCGCATAAATTGACGTGAAATAAATAAAAATTATTTTAATGTATTTTATTGTATTTTCTTAACCCTTTAACACAGCAATCAATTTACACAGCCATCAAAAAATTATCCAAATTCTTACCCTATTTTTATCGACAGAATTTACATAATTATTCCTTTATATTATATAAATTCCTAAATTTGTTTATTTTTTCTGAGCACTAATTCTATTAGCATCTCTTAAATCTAATATTAGGTTATATTCTGACATTTATTTTCACATAAATACGGTACAATTCTTTGCATAATTTCCAGTAATAATATATACATTTTATTTAGTAATGCTCATTATTAGTGTTATATTTTCAAAACAATAGTTTTAATAAATTACATATCATATACTGGCAAACATTTTACTAAAACACTTGTGTGTGTTGTGTCCACACAATTACGTAACTCTAAAAGCTTTAAGCGATTTGAAAACTAAATAAAATCTTATAAGAATTGGTTTAAACGCAATGAACACTCATTCAAAAATTGATTTTATTTTTATTTATTGTTTGGATTTTTTAAATGTTTTTTGTTATGGTTTATTTAGGATTTATCACTATTTCAACAACAATATACGGTAGAGATAATAAAAAGATTTTTTTATTGAGTAAATATAAATTCTGTTCATTCACTGCATTATATTTTTGAGTTTCTTTTGCGTTCAATACAAACAAATAAAATAAAACTTTCTTTGCGTACAGTTTAGTGCACACGAGTGGAGCACTGATTGATAATTGTGTGCAAAAAAGTGCATTTTTGCGTCAATTTGTTTAAATACAATGAACTAAGTTATGCAATTATATTATTTAAATTAAGTCTCCAAATTTAAAAAGAATTTTTTCACTAATTTAATTTAATTTAATTAAATCACTCTATTTCACTTGGAAATTTTTATTGTGTTTTTTATTAGTTATAATTTAGTGACAAATATTTTTAGAAACAGAAGTTTCTAAATAGGATTTAGAAAATGTATTTTAATATACCAGCATGGTGTTTATTCGGCCGTGTTTATCATTGTATCATAAATTATTTCTAAGAACTTTTAAAAAACATTTCACCAAAAATTGTTTATTGATTTAGATTTAAGTATAATTTCACTCTTAGATTATTTTCTAAAAACTATAATTTACGAAAACATAATATGTTTTTATCATAAAATAACAAATCTTATATATAAACAAATAAAATGTTGCACTTGGTAATTAATTTTGTTTTTGTTTTCTACTTTTATTATTTATTTATCTGTGTTTGTGTTGTTATCCCGGGATTTATATTCGCCGTAATGGGAGTCCATTACAAGATTTTCGATCATATTATTGTCCAAAAGTTGCTAATAATTAGCACTGTTTTGCCATTTGAATGGTTGCGAAATTGGTCGTCAATTTAGTCCGGGATGTGCTAATGCCTCGCTGTTTGGGGTCTCCTTTGTTTATGAGACTAATACTGCACATCCAGTCCTTGTATAACATAATGACAATAGTTTGTGACAATTCTTAGAAAACGTTGTTTTAATAACCGAAACAACTTTGTTGAGACATTCAGACCCTTTGTTAGCATTTTTATTAATATTAATAGCTCGCGAATATTAATTATATATGAATTATACATCATATGATTATATCGATTTATTGATTTCTTTTGTAAAATTTTATTTTACATAATAGATATACAGTAATATTTAATATATTATATTATAAGTTATACATACGAATTTCATTTTATTCAAATATTATTTCTAATTATGTGTACGTACTGAATGAATGGTAAAAGTTGTACTACAATACAAGTAACGTATTAGCAATAATCTTGGTTTGCAAAATATCTCATCAAGTGAGTTTGATTTATTTTATAATAATATTCATTATTAATGATTGAAAATGAGTATAAATAAAATAAATAATATGAAAGAGTCTATTATTCAGAGATTGTTGTCTTACAGAAAGCCTATCAATTGGGTAAATGAATCAAATATAAATATGTAAAGTAAAATTCATTTTCTATATAAAATGATTTCAATGCATGAATATATTATGTGATAAAAGAGATACTATTTGTAAAAATTAGTAATAATTTATAATAACTGAAGGGTCATTCATTCAATTTATTTCTTTTTTGCCAATTTTATTCCCACTTTTATTGCATTCCTAGTTATACAGCATAATATATAAACTAAACTATTATTAATTATATAATAATAAGTAGAGCCTTTGAAACTAAATTACATTTCATATAATATGTGTATAAGAGATATCAACCTAGAGATCAGTATTATATAAATGTAATAAGAAATTTCCTAAACAAATACACAAATATTTTACCTTAATTTTACATTAGTTGGAAAAAATCATGTTAACCATTGATTTGAAAAATAATCGTTACATTAGGTGTAAATTAAAATAAAAATTATCTAAAACAATAGATGATTTGTTTTGAATGTGAGATTAAGTTTGAATTTTTGTATTTAAAATGTATTACAATTCATACTCAATTATTGTTAACATATTTCTAAATATCGTTTGAAGTATTATTTAATTTAAATCCAAAAAAATTGTTAAATATAAGAGTACTGTAAATGATAAAATGTATTTAAAGTTCACATTCAGAATTTTAAAATAATTTTATCACATGTCTTGTTTTCAAAATAAATATTCTCGCTTGGTCAAATTAACAGTTTAGTTTAACAACACCTAAATGATATAAGTATTGGCAAAAAAATCATACAATTTCCTATAAAATATACAGTAATATACACTTAATTATACTTATAGGTTTTAATCATAAATAATTCAAGTATAATAAACAAAGTTAAAACTAAAAATATTAATTAACAAAAGGAATTGTAATCATAACATTTAACTTAATCAAATTAGGGTACAACTGATTAAAATGAATAAGTATACTCTAGTTATTTAACTGTATTAAATTAGTTACTAAATTATATTAAATTAAACTGTACTAGTTATTTAATTGTTGAGCTCAAAGCACAAGTCTGGAAGTCCCGACAGCACAGGTAATAATAAACACCCTTGTAAGTTAATAATATTATTGATCATCAATATAATAAAATTACTATTTAAAATCAAATCAATATCAAATTCATGTCAACCTCTTTTGAGTGAAAGATTTCAGACAATAAGAGACATTGTGT